TGCTGAAAATTACAAGTGCAGATTTGATAATTACAGAAGTGCCTCTGATGAAACCTTAAACCTAGACAGACACAAAACTGGGAATGCTGGGGAAGAACATTGCAAATATAAAGACTGTGCAAACTCTCTGTATTTGTGTTCCATCATTATCCAAAATCAAAGAACACACACAGTAAAGTAAGACTACAAAACTACCGAATATGAAACATCTCTTGAGTCTAATACAGAAATGAAAATGAAAGAAACTGATTTTAGAAAGCATCCACATCAATGCATGCAATGTGGAAACCTTTTCAAAACTCACTCAAGCCTTATAATGCATCGGAGATCCCATACTAGAGAGAAGCCCTATAAGTGTACAAAATGTAATAAATCATTTCTGCATTCTTCACAACTCAATGTACATTACAAATCTGTTGTAGAGAAAATCCCTACAAATGTACAGAATATGGTAAGTGCTTTTATTATTTATCAAATTTGAGGAGATATTTCAGCATCCACATAGTTTTCAAGCTATACTCCTTTTTCATAACAGAAGATTCCATACTTTGTCATCTCTTCTGTTAGGCTCCTTTGGATTTGAGTCAGATGTATGGATATCTTTCTTTATGGCTGTGTAGACAACTGTCACACAATCTCTGTATGTGGCTAGTTATAAATTCCTGAAGTAATAGTTGCTTATTGCACAGAAAGTTTTTTCCACAGAGGCTGTAATCAGCACCAGGTTATGGGCTGAAGATAGTCTTTTAAAAACACTTTGAACATTCATATGTAGCATAATAGCATTTGTGTATTCTATGTTATGGCCTGTACCCATCCCATTCATAGGCTCTTGGCCTGGTTTCCAATGTTTTGCTAATATTCCTTTGTCTGGAAGAGGCCAAAAGTTCAAAAACAATGCATTTCGTTTCTTGCCATTATGACACTGCTTTAGGAAACCAAGGGAAGCAACAAGCCAGCTGCGGGTCATTACCCAGCTTTTATAAATAGTGCTAAAGCACACAGGATCACCTGATGTCTGTCTAAATTCTCAAGCTTGAGTTCAGTTAAACAGAGTGTTTAATATTCATATAGTTCTCTGCATGACTCTAAATCTCCCCAAATCCCTACAACACATGGAGACACAAATTATGCCTGGGTCTTTTAAGTGAGTTCAGTAGAGTTTGTGAATGTGTTGGTTTTTTTGTTTTTTTTTTTTTTTTTTTTTTTTTTTTTTTTTTTTTAGACAGGGTTTCTCTGTGTAGCTTTAGAGCTTATCCTCGAACTCACAGAGATCCGCCTGCCTCTGCCTCCCTAGTGCTGGGACGTTGTGCTCCACCAACACCCTGCTGTGAATATTTTCCTATGCAGAAACTTTTCTGAAAGTAACAAAATACATCAGCAGGCATTTGTAGTACTGAGTTTCAATGAGAGGATATTGAAGAAGATACAGAGGGGAAGCTCAATGGTGCTGAGCTGCATATTGCTGATTGTTTCTGGTAGCTCTCATGGTCCTGTGCTCTATCAGGGTAGCGACACACTGTGCCTGGGAGGTTGGTGTTGTGTCACTCGGGGTCCACATCTGAGTGAGGTCACTGACAACTCTTCTCCCCCACCAATGTACTCAATACCTTTCACACTTGAGTGCTATCAATAGGGATCTAAGATATTTCTTACACACTATGCTGGTCCTAGAAGTCTGCACTTTTCTCACTGTTATCCTGTTCATGTGAAAATCACCAACTGATTTATAACATGGGTTTCATGGCTGACTTTAAAGATTAACACAACAGAGCTTTCTAATAGAATATTTGTAACTATTGAAGGTAAGTTTTTTTTGTCACTAACAGTTTGGGATAAGTTACTGTCTTACATCCACTAATGCTTTTCAATTGACAATTTTCTCTTTTCTGAGTTACAATTGATACCCTGTGCTAAATAAATTTGCGAAGAGTGCATGCTCATATCTGTTGTGAGGTGTCCAGACTCCTTCCAATTTTCCATATTGGGTATAATGTTAGATGTAGGATTGTGGCTTCTAATGTACCTTGTACTGAAGTTTTTTCTTCCTATTCCCTGAATCCAAAAATCTTTCACAATGACCATAAATGAAAGTTTACCACATGCCCTTTGTCAATATATTAAATTCTTTCCTTCCTAAAATTTACAGCCTTACCAATCTGTGCATGTTAAAGAGTTATTTTTTTAATTCCCTATCGTTAGAGGGAAACATTTATGGTCATTCATACTTGGGATATCTACAAAGTCAGATTGGATTTCTCCATTTGTGGTAGCTTACATTCCCTCCAAGAGTTAGTATAAACCTCCTTATGCCGTTTTCTAAAACACATTTGTGAGCATTTTTTTTTTGTTTGATTACTTTTCTTTGGTTTGGTTTTTTTTTTGTTTGTTTCTTAATTTTTAGGGTGGAGGGCTTATTCCATCGATGTTTGCTCATCAAAAACTCACTAGGGAGACAAGATTGGTAGCATTAAGTTAAACATTTCTCTGCATTCTGAGTCTTGTGATTAAAGTGGCGCCAGCAGACTATGCTCCACTAGGTTTGGGGTTTGTTTGGTTTGGTTTCTTTGGATTGATTTCCTGTGTGTGAGCGCTTGGGCAGCTTCTATGTCAGTGCAACAAGTGTGCCCAATGAAAGTCATTATGAAAATGATCCGCCAGTTGGCTGGTTTCATGAACTCAGAATCCAGGCTTAGGGGGCGGTGCCAGGAGGAACCCCTCACAGGAACCAGACTGCAGGAGCTGGCATGGAAGCTCCCAGGTCAGAGGAGCTGCGGGGCTGGGACCCGGGAGGGAGGGAGGAGCGGGCTGTGCTCCCGAGCTGCTCACAAGGACCCCGTCAGCTCCCGCCGGCTGCCCGTGGGGTGGAGGAGGCGGCGGCTCAGCTCGTCCCCTGCGGCCAGGTGCGCTCGTTTCCACCCCACGAGCTGGGTGCTGCCCCGGGCGCCGGGCGCACCCCTTAAAAGTGTCCGTCTGTCCCGGTCTCTCTGGCTCCTGGTTTGCTCTCTGACCGCTCTCTGTCTGGGGTCTCCGTCTCTCCCGTCCCCATCCGAGACGGCCTTTGCTCTTTTGCTCGCCCTCCTCCCCAGGGACCTCTCCCCCTAGACCTGTTGCCCATGGCGAGTTCTCTTAGCGGCCAGGGGCGCAGCCAGAGCTGCCCAGTTTCCACCGCTTTATCCTCAGACACAGCTCTCAGTGTTGTGTTGTTGGTGTCTTTCCATTGATGGTGGGTTTCAGATGCCATGAAGCGGGCATTACTGTGTGTTGCTTTAGTTTAGTCTTCACTTAACCTTATGGATGTCATAAAATAATTCTTATAATAATTTAGTAGAGCATTTGCTTTGTCCGTTGTTTGAAAACAGGCTAGCTTGGCTATTTTGGTAATTCTAGAGCTCTGTTTTGTCACTCTATAGGTATCCTTCCATTTTCTCCTGGCGGTAAAAATGTTCAAAGATTTCTGGTTTGCATTTGGATTTGGGGGGTATTTTCATATGGTGTGGCATTGATCATAACAGAGTTTTTTTTTCAGATTTCTATTTTTGACAAAGGATGTGAAATACCAACAAGAATTCAAGTATTTTTTTTTCTGAGAAACTTAGAAAGGCAAAAGAACATTGATGCTTCTGTTGCAAATGCCCCCCAGGTCAGTGTCATGTTCACATTTCTCTGAAAATTGGTTTTATTATTGAAAACATTTAACCTTTTAATTCTGTTCCACTGGCAATGTTATTCAAAGTGTCTATTTTTGCCTTATTTCTCTATTTTTCTTGTTCTTTTTTTATTTTTATTTTTTGAGACAGGGTTTCTCTGTGGCTTTGGAGGATGTCCTGGAACTTGCTCTTGTAGACAGGCTGGTCTCAAACTCACAGAAAAGTGCCTGCCTGTGCCTCCTGAGTGCTCAGAATAAAGTTGTACACCACCACTGCCTGGCTCGTTTTTTTTTTCTTTTCTTATATTTAAGGTTATGTCTTAAATTTTTCAACTATGTATCTGAGACTTGACCCGTTGTATTTTCTCTTGGGTTTATACTATGATGAATTTCCATGGACTTTAGACTTGAATTCAAAAACACAAGCTATTGTAAATGAAACTGAAGAAATATATTGATGGCCATTTTCTACATAAAATGGACTTTTGTTCCTTTTTAATAGTCAGGAAGGAAGGTCTCATGTGCCACACAGTTACATTTCTGGAATGTTCAGTTTTCCAGAAACAGGCTTATAAACATGGACAGATCAGTACATGGACCTTCTCACTGACATCACTGATAAATTTATGGAAATGTAGAATTAGAAATGACTCACTGTCTTGAACCCTAATGGTAAAGATTTTAGCACCCAGAGAGCACAGATGTTGGAAGCCATATGTGGCTTCTCTTGCTAGAAAGTTGCTGTGTCTGTGAGGAGATGATGTTTGCAGTATTCTGGTTTCTCTTTTTGCATCATGATGTCACACAGTGATGTGGGGTGTATTCACACTGTAAATATGAGTCCCTTTTGAAATTCTGTTCAAAACTCAATGTGTATCTCTCTTAGGAATTGCTGATTTTTTTTCTTTTCCTTTATTTCATTTTCAGAAAGGCCAAAAGCACTGCTGTATCCACATTTGTATGGCATTATGTGGAATATATTTATAAGAACTTTTTAGAGAGTAGTGACTTGGTATTAAACATAAGCCATCAATGTTCAAGCATAAATGAATGTCCCTTTTATTTACTTTACTCTTTTGTTTAGAGGGAGAAGTCCCTCTCTTGCTCATGTTTTTCCTCTCACTGAAGGTTTGTCTTCCACCGGGAGAAATTCTGAAGATTTATGCCAATGTTTCTATTTATTTTTCAATAATAATTCATTTATGCATATGAGGGTTTGTTTGCATATTGTTATGTACACTGCATGATTCAATGTGCTCCTGGATTCCAGAGGTCAGCACCAGACACTTGGCACTGAAGTCTAACATTGTAGTTGTTGCCATGTGTTCAGAGAGAATTAAAGTTGGTTTCTCTGGAGGAACAGCAAGTGACTTTTAAGTCTCAACCATGTCTTCAGAAAGGTGCAAACTTGTGACTATATAACATTGTATATTCTAGTTTTTTTCAGAAAAGTAATGGAGTAATCATAAATGATACCTAGCTGTGCTTACATTCTTGTCAGATGAATTAGCTCAGATACTGAAGAGAAAAATAAATTTGAAATTAAGAGGTTTAAATTTTCCTTTCAGTGAATCTCATGAGCAATAACATACTTCATGGTTGTAATTATTCTTCATGTTATAGCTTCACAAAGTATTTGATTCTGTGTGTTGTTTGGAGCAGTAGATATATGCAATGGTTTTATACTCCTTACTCTCAAGAAAAAAACTGAATTTAATTCATCCATGGATTTTCATTCCATATCCATTAAAATTAAAGTTTATTTGTGTGTTCCGATATGTTTGCCAGAAAGTATGTGTACTCTGTAGGACTCTTGCCTTTAAGGTGCAGCATTGAATCTCAAGCATCTGAGATTAAATCCTGTTTTTTAGTGCCATGATTGTGCTGGGAATCAAACGACATTTTCAAGGACTTGTAGACATTATAGACTTCAAACTAGAGACAAGTTTTTCAAATTTAGTGATTGTGGCAAATATTTTATGCTACTCAAGTCTTAGAAAATATCACAATACTCATGGAGAAGAGAGACCCAATGGATGTAAGCAATGTACTATATCTTCCTATGAATTGTTTTTGAAAGAGTAGCAGTGTGGGACGCTTTCAAAACTCATGTCCTTTCAAAATTGTCATCCTCATTTATGACACATTCATTATGTCTCCTTTGCTCAAGAAATCATTTTGTGAAGCAGTGAGTGCATGGTAAGTAGGTAATTTTCCATTGCAGGGTCTGTTATCATTCAGGGGTGTGGCTGTGGACCTCTCACAAGAGGAATGAGAATATCTAGATTGTGCTCAGAGGTCTTTGTACATGGATGTATTGTTGGGGAATTACAGCAATCTACCTTTTGTGGGTAAGAGGTCTCATGGAATTCCATATTCATTCTTTTTTTTATTTTCCTATTTTGTGTATCAATAAACTGTGAAACTAGAAAATGCCAGAAATGAGGGAAATATTGGTTATCAACATATCTTTTTATTTTTGTTTCATTTACATTTTTTGTGTTCTCTAGAAAGGTAAAGAATGCTTTATTCACTGTGGCCCTCCTATCTAATATACAAAGAACATTTCAAAGTTCAAGCAATATATAATTGTTATAGCATGAAAATATATTGTAATACTTATTATAATTAGAAGGAGTTATTGCTGGATTTAACTCTTCACCTACTTCTTTTATAAAAAAATGCAGGGTGGAAGGATGGGGGTGAGGGCAGGGAGAGGGAGAAGGGACTTACATGTGAAACAAGCCTGTTCCCTAACTTGAATTAATAAAAAAAAATTGCAAAAGGTTTTAGAGGAAGGGCTGTTAGTTATGCGAATGTGGTTTTGTTTAGTAATTTATTTTGTGATATGATGGCTATATTTAATACTGGCATAGCATGATTTTAATATTTCCACTTTGGAGCTTGACGTGTACATGTTATCTCCATGCAAATCTGGATTATGAATTCCAAGTTGTGTGACTCTATCTCAAAAACATGAGATATAGGGAATCATTCTTCACATCATCCTTCACAGAGCTTCTTTCTCAAGTTGTTTCCTTCCCAAATAACTATGCATGTGAGCAGCTGCAAAGGACAGTGTTTACATGAGAATCAGAAGGCTACACACTGGAATGAACTAGGTCCTCTACGTATGCATGACAGTTGTTTACTTTGGTCTACTTGTGGGACTCCTACCAGTGTCATGAAATCCTTTCCCTAATGCTTTGGCTTGCTATTGGGCAACTATTTTTCAGTGTTGGTTGCCTCACACAGCCTTAACACAAAGGGAGGAACTTAGATACACCTCAACTCAATATGCCGTGCTTTGTTGACAGCCATGGTAGGCCTGCCTCATCTAGAACACATACAGAGTGGGGTTTGATGGAGCCCCAGTGGGGATTCAGGGAGAGGAAACAGGAAGAGAGTAAGGAAGAGAAACTGTAGAAGGATGTCAAATCAATTGAAAAATAATGAGTAGACTATTATTGGTCCCTGTGACTTGCTGTAGATCAGATTGGAGATTCTTTTTAAAAATTTTTTTAGTATTAACTTTTTCTTATTGATTTTAGAAACAGGATTGTTTTACATGTAAAGCCCAGTTCCATCTCCTTCTCACCTGTCCCCCACTAAACCCCTATCACATACCCTTCATGCTCCCAAGGGAGGGTGAAGCCTTCCATGTGGGATCTTCAAAGTCTGTCACATCATTTGGAGCAGGGCTTAGGGCCTCGCACTGGTGTCTAGGTTGAGACAGTATCCCTCTATGTGGAATTGGGCTCCCAAAGTCCATTCCTGTGCTAGAGATAAATACTGATCTACTACCAGAGGTCCCACAGCTTGCCCAGGCCTACTCACTGACATCCATGTTCAAGGGGTCTGCATCAGTCCTATGCTGGTTTCCCAGCTATCTATCAGTCTGGGCTCCATTAGCTCTCGCTTGTTCAGGTCAGCCTGTTCTGTGGGTTTCCCCAGCCTGGTCTTGACCCATTTGATCATCACTCCTCCCTCTCTGCAACTGGATTCCAGGAGTTCAGTTCAGTGTTTATCTGTGGTGTCTGATTCTGCTTCCATCTGTTACTAAATGAAGGCATATTAGGTAATAATCAATTTTTTTTTATTGAGGAAGGGCATTTAAAGTAGCCTCTCCACTGTGGCTTAAATTGTTAGTTGGTGTCATCCTTGTAGATCTCTGGAAATATCCCTGGTTCCAGGTTACTCTTTAAACTGATAATGGCTCCCTCTATTAAGGTATCTTTTATCTTGCTCTCCTCTTTTCTTCCCCCACTCAGTCTTCCTACTCCGTCATGCCCTTTTCTCCCCTCCTATTCTTCCCTTCTCTTTCTTCTAGATCCATCTCCCCTCGCCTCATGCTAACAATTTGCTCAGGAGATCTTGTCCAGTTTCTATTCTGCAGGGGACCAGGTATGTTGCTCTTAGTGTCCTCCTTGTTTCCTAGGTTCTATGGCTGTGTGGATTGTGGGCTAGTAATCATTTGCTCTATGTCTTACATCCATATATCACGGAGTACATACCATGGTTGTCTTTTTGTGACTGGGTTACCTTGCTTAGGACAGTTTCTTCTACTTCCCTCGATTTACCTGTGAATTCCAATGTTCCAGAGTGTGTGTGTGTGTGTGTGTGTGTGTGTGTGTGTGTGTGTGTTTCTGCAGAGTAGTACTCCATTGTATAAATGTAGCACATTTTCTCTATCCATTCTTCATTTGAGGGGCTTTGAGGTTGCTTCCAGGTTCTAGCTATTAAAAATAATGCTGTGATGAACATAGTTGAACAGATGTCCTTGTTGTATGAATGTGAATCTTTTGGGTATATGCCTAAGAGTGGAATTGCTAGATCTTGTGGTAGACTGATTCCCATTTTCCTGAGGAACCACCATACTGATTGCCAAAGTGGCTCTACAAGTTGGCCCTCTTGTCAGCAGTGGAGAAGTGTTCCCTTTCTCCACATCCTCTCTAGCATAAACTGTCATTGGTGTTATTGATTTTAGCCATTCTGACAGGAGTAATAAGGTATCTCAGAGTTGTTTTGATTTGCATTTCCCTGATAGCTAAGTATGTTGAGCACTTTCTTAATTGTCTATCAGCCATTTTAGCTTCCTATATTGAGAATTGTCTGTTTAGTTCTTTACCCCACTTTTTAATTGTATTATTTGTTTTATTGGAGACTAGCTTCTTGAGTTCTTTGTAAATTTTGGAGATCAGCCCTCTGTCATATGTGGGGTTGGTGAATATCATTTCCTATTCTGTGGGATGCCATTTATTTTTTTGTTGACTGCGTTGTGTGTCTTACAGAAGCTTCTCAGTTGCAAGAGGATACATTTATTGTCAATCTCCATGTCTGTGTTGCTGGTGTAATGTTCAGGAACAGGTATCCTGTACCAATTCTTTCAAAGATACTTCCCACATTCTCTTCTAAGAAGTTCAGTGTTGCTGGCTTTTCATTGAGGTCTTTGAACCATTTGGACTTAAATCTTGTGAATGGTGATAGATCTGCAACAATGTCCAGTCTTTTATATGCCAGCATCCAGTTATGCCAGCACCATTGGTCTTCCTGTCTATTTTTGTTTCAATACCAATCTTTTTTCAGGACTACAGCTCTTTAATATAGCTTGAAGTGTGGGATGGTGATGTCTCCATAAGTTCCTTGATTATACAGGGTTGTTTTCCTACACTAGGTCTTCTGTTTTTCCATAGAAGGGTGATTATTGTTCTCTCAAAGTCTGTGAAGAATTGTGTTGGGATTTTGATGGGGATTCAATTGAACATGAAGACCGGTTTTTTCAAGATTGCCATTTTTACTATGTTGATCCTACCTATCCCAAGAGCATGGGATATCTTTCCATTTTCTGGTATCTCCTTTAAGTTTTTTCTTGTTATCCAGGTCTTTCACTTATTTGGCTAGTTTGTTGTTTGTGGTTTGTAAAGGGTGATCTTTCTTTGATTTCATTCTCAGCCCATTTATAGTCTGGAAAAATAGGGCTACTGACTTTTTTGAATTAATCTTGTATCCTACTACTTTGTTGCAGGCATTACCTGATATAGGATTTTCCTGGGAGAATCCTTTGTGTCACTTATTAAACTATCATATCATCTGCAAGTAGTGACAGTTTGACTTCCTCCCATCCAATATGTATCTCCTTGATCTCCTGGTGGATTATTCTATGGCATATTATGAATTTGCCAGTATTGTATTAAGTACTTTTGCATTAATGTTCATGAGGAATATTGGTATGTAGTTATCTTTCTTAGTTGTGTCTTTGTGTTGCTTGGGTACTAAGGTAATAGTAGCCTCCCAAACAGAGTTTGGTAATGAACCTTCTGCTTCATTGTATGGAACAATTTGAGGAGTATTGGTATTAGTTCTTCTTTGATTTTCTGGTAGAGTTCTGTATAGAAGCCATCTGGCCCTGGGCTTTTATTTTATTTTATTTTATTTTTGGTTGGGAGACTTTTGATGACTGCTTGTATTTCATTAGGGGTTATAGGTCTGTTTATATTGTTTATCTATTCTTGATTTAATTTTGGTAGGTGATGTGTAGCAGATAATTGTCCATTTCCACAAATTTTTGAATTTTGTGGAGAACAAGTTTTCAAAGTATGACCTGGAGATTCTCTAAATTTCCTCAGTGGTGGCTGTTATATTCCCTCTTCATTTCTGATTATGTTAATTTGCATGTTCTCTCTGTGCTTTTTGGTTAGTTTGGGTGGAGGTCTGAATATCTTGTTGATTTTCTCAAAGAACCAATGCTTTATTACATTGTTTCTTTGTGTTGTTTCCTTTGTTTCTTCTTAAAAGATTTCAGCCCTCAATTTGATTATTTCCTGGTGTCTACTTCTAAGGGGTAAGTTTGCTTTTTTTGTTCTAGAGCTTTCAGTTGTGCTACTAATTCTCTAGTGTGACTATTCTTCAGTTTCTTCATGTGGGCACTTAGTGCTAAGAACTTTCCTCTTATTACAGCTTTCAAAGTATCCCATAAGTTTGTTATGTTTTGTCTTCATTTTCACTGAATTCTCGGAAGTATTTCTTTTTTTTATTTCTCCCATGACTCTGGAATTGTGCAATTGTGGGTTGTTCAATTTCCATGAGTTTGTAGGGTTTCTGCTATTTATGTTGTTGTTGAATTCTAACTTTAAAACATGGTGGCTGATAAGATACAGGGGATTATTCCAATTTTTTGTACCTGTTGAGATTTGTTATGTTGCCAATTATTTGATCCGTTTTAGAGAGTGTTCTATGTGGTGCTGAGAAGTAGGAATTTTGTTTTGTGTTTGGATGGAATGTTTTATAGATGTCTGTTAAACCCAATTATGTCATAACTTCTGTTACTTCCTTTGTTTCTTTGTTAAGTTTC